TACTTCGATGAAGCATGAATCAGCATTGCCATCCGAAGTTGGCCTGGAAATTTTGTGAACTTTAATCCTAAATGGTAGTTTGTGACACTAGAATGGGCCAATCTATCATCTTACTGATACTGCAACCGCAGGGTCACTAATCCAGCAGGATCTAGTGTCTGGGGGTAGAACAATAGGATGGAGAGTGAGAAGCTTGATCATAAGAAGAAAAAGTCATTTTAATTCACTTACCTGATACATATTAGGGCAGGAGGTGATTTTTGACAGTCTCAAATTATAATTGATGCCATCATCTAATCAGTGAATTATCACTCGAGGTGTGAATTGAATTCAAAATTGTCTGAAATACTTTAATCAAGAAACAAATTTAGAAGAGTGCTGCACTGTAACTACATTTAAATTTAGCTGCTCATTTTGCCTTCAGGATTTACTGAATGCTACCTTTTTAAGGTAGGTATTGAAAACACATTCCATGCCAAACCAATAATTTAAGTAGTGACTTGGGCCTAGGTTAGCATTCGTAACTGACTCAGTGTACTGAATCTTAACAGCAAAAGTCTTAATCAGTAACCGTTTTTCTAGTTACCAGTATTTGTGAAGAACTGCTTCAGGATTAACGTAAACAGCCGACTGAATAGTTCTCAACTGGAGGGCACAGACAGCTCAGAAAGATCCCTGGAATCACAAGGAAGTGTGAGAACAGAGAACACAAGGTAACTGCGGCGTATATCCCGGCCACAGAGTACTCTCTCCGCCCCAGGTGACTTTTCTTTGGCCCCCTCTCCAGGATTCTTACAGGTCTCAGCCTCAACTGAAGCATTACTAGGTGTCCTTACTGGATAAGCTCTCAGGAATTGGGTCACAGTGCACATAAGGATGTGCTCAGGCCACACTGGTTGGGTTGGCACAGGACAGCAGGTCTAACTATGTGCTTTGCCAGATGGTTTGGAAGCTGGAGTGGAAGAAGAGCAAAAGTGTCTCGTGGACTGATGTCTTGTGTGACAAATGTGAAAACTTCAAACCATTCGTATTTTTACCAACTACTGCGTAACATAGTGATGCTTGCAACACATGAGAGTTTTCCTCCATTTCTTTATTCCAAATAAATCTTTTAAAATTAGATATATGGATACCTATAAACATACTTTAGTTTTTTTAAGTTGTTTTAATGTTATTTTTGAGACTACATTTTTAGTAAGAGAAGTTAAGAAACTTGGTCATAACACAATGTGGTTTGAAAACAGAATTTTATACTTAAATATGTATCTTTGGATTATGTGAAGGCAATAAACAGCTAGAGTTGCTTAAAAGCAAGGTAGAACAGTTGCTGAAGACAAACATTTGGATTATGACATAAATTAATTCTTAGAAAGCAGTTATTTCTGTAGCACCAATAAGTAGGGTACGATGAGATGACTGGCTATGCGGACAAGGGAAAACTGATGGATGTTGTGTATTTCGACTTTACCGAGAACTTTGATATGGTCTCCCATAGTACCTTTATAGCCAAACTGGTGAGATATGGATTGGGTAACTGGGAAATAAGGTCGGTGGGAAATTGGCTGGTCCATCAGGCTTAAAGTGTAGTGATCTGCAGTACGACTGCTGGACTCTGGGATCAATACCTGAGCCAATACCCTTATTTCTTTATTAACAACCTGGAAGACTGAGCACACTCTCAGCAAATTTGCCGATGATGATGAACTGAGGGGAGCAGTCACTATGCAGGAGGGCAGGGCCGCCACTCCAAGGGGGCTGGGCAGCCTGGAGAAGCAGGCTGCTAAAGAGGAACCTAAGGAAGTTCAACAAAAAGCGAATGCAAAGTCTGACATTTGGGATGGGAAAAGCCCATGCGTCAGCACAGGCTGGAGGCAGTAACTATAATGCAACTTCATAGGAAAAGACACAGAGGTCCCTGGAGAACAAGCTGACTGTGAGCCAGCAACGCACCTTGCAATGAAGAAAGCCAATGGCCTCCTGGGCTGCGTTAGCCAGGAGGCTGAGGGAGGGGATTCTTCCCCTCTGGTCAGCACTTGTGGGACCTCGTGCTGGAGTGCTTAGCTTTGGGCTCCAGACAAATGCTAAGAGCTGCCAACCTGGTCAGGTGCTGGCACATGTGGCCTATGTTCAGCTTGGAGAACAGAAGGCAGAATGAGATCTTAGTGCTGCCAGCAGCTACGTAAGAGGAGGGTGTAGAGAAGACACAGATGCCGGACTCTTCTCCAGTGCACTATGGAAGTATAAGCAGCAGTAGTGCATATGAAAACACAAACAGTACCCGAGTGCGTATGAAAAATTTTGGCCCAGTATAAGGGAGAAATATTTACCTTTACCAGAGTCAAACTTGGCAAAGTTTGCCCGAAGAGGTTTTAGAGTCTCCATCCTCAGAGATAATCAAAACATGAGCAGAACTGGCGCAAAGTACTGTGCACCAGCTGGACGTGTTTGATAAGGAGGGTGGACTACAGACTTCTGTAGTCTGGGACCCCTGGAGGTCCCTTCCAACCTACACTGTTTTATGGTGATCTGGTCAGCGTGTTTTAGCGGAAGGTAGTTCTACCAATTCTTTTTAAAAGATTACAGATTTAGTTTGTCAGGTAGTATTAAGAAATAGACTATCTCAAAGTGTTTTTAAATCAGCATTGAGCAATCCAACCAACGCACCCTTGGAATCTAGAGGAATCCATTCAAATGCAGGGGTTTAGACTCCAGGTAAGAACAGTGGTTTATACCTATGGAATGATGAAGATGCCAGAGACATTGGTATCTTAGAACTTTTAAGGTCATTAAAAATAATCTTCTCAAGACACGATTTGAGACCAATATTGTAGCAGAGAAGACTTTGAATAAATTTGGAAATAGGAATGTGTTAGGAACTCAGGTAGCAGTTCACTCAGGAAACAGCTTAGTAATACTACTCAAAAGATGTTTAGTGTACAAAGGAGAAACAAAACCAAACTGGGAATAGAAAACGAACCTAAGGTAAGAGCTTCAAGGAGCTTAGTGTGCATATTGTATAAAAGAGAGAGCTGAGTAAGCGTGTAAAGGCTGTCGTATATAGTAGAAGGACTGGAGAGAAGCCTATGGATTTGCTGCCCAGGGCCAAGGTAGTAACAGTTGAAACAGGGCGAGTTCAACAGCATAGTACTTTTAGCAGTGAGAATTAACTAAACTGCAGAACATGTGAAAGGGAACATCATCGATATATCACATTAAAAACTGTAAAATGGGGTAGGTATTATTTAAAAAAAATAGCTTTAATCTCCTTTGAGACAAATTTGAAAGACTGAGTAGATGTGAAGAGAACAACAGCAGGCTGAACAGGACAATGCTTGCTTGAGACCAATGGCATTTAAATCTTTTTTTTTTTCCTCAATATGCTGCAACTTGGTCTCTTGAAGACTAACACTTTGATCTTAACCATTGTTTTAATACAACTTGTCATTCTGGTGGTTTATAAATGAAACTAAAGGTTATGAGCTATATGCAAAACCAAAATGGGAGGGAGAAGGAAGATACAAACATCCCTATTGTAAATGCAGGTCACAACAATAAAAATGCTTCTGCTAGTGTGAAGTCTTTAGTAGCCTCAAGCTGGTTACACTTGCTGACAAGCGACAGACTGTAGTAACAGAAATTGTTGTAGTATACTTTACTTTTGAGGGACCTTTTTAGTTTGAAATATTTTAAGCTAAGGATGAGCTTGTTTCTGTCACAGACGTACTCCAATATCGTTCCTGTTATTACTTCAGAAGTCCCAC